AAGAAAAACTAGTTTGAAAACCTTAATTTCCTGATAGAAATCTAACTGTCTTTTTGCTCAAGTGTGTGTCTTCATCACTTTGTAATACTCCTAGGTGGACATTTCTCCATTCTCTTAGGGCACTGTCACATTGCTTTATATCCTCTTTGATAGTGTCATGAATGTTTTTTTCGTGCACATGTGTTTCAATGTTGTAAAACTTAAATGTTGATGTTACCATTGAAATTTAATGAACTATCATGTTCTTGAAATCACAAGCGTGAAGATCACTTTGGCAATCTTTTCACGTGTGGTTAATGTGAATCTGTATTACATACAGCTAACACACTGAAATGTGTTTAACTCCAGGGAAGCTAATGCGGAGATTGATCCCGGAGAGTAAATCCCTGAGATTTCTTATTTGATTTGCCTCAGAAATATTGTTAGCTTTCTGGGCGCGTCCATTGTTCCAAGCACGGATTTCAGAACTTGTTCGGTCTGACTGTCATTTGAGTCTGTACGAGAGATGGCACCTGACGTAGAAGACTTGACTATCATTACAGGACATGTGTAGAGGAAGGCAGAAGATGTAACAGCTGGAATGTGAGACATAAGCCCTTCCCAATTGGACAGGAGTGAATGTGAACATAAGGGAGAGATGAAATGTTTTATTTAAATAAACATGCTTGATGTTATTATAATATACATGCTTAGTGTACACCTAGAGCAGATACTACAGATATGCGCTTGTTTCATTCTCCAGTTCCCACATTGGGCAGGGACTAGTAGGCATCCATTCTTTGCCGACAGTCTGAGTGTAACGACCTGCTTGAAAGCAGTGAGGACGACAAACTGAAAAAGAATAGGCAGGGTCTCAAGCCGAGAACTGTCCAAAGGTTGTTACTTTCCAATATATAATTTCATTATCAACATCATCTCAACTCTACTAGCCTAAACAAGTTCATTTTAATTTCGATTTATTCAAATAAATCATGTTTGATGTTGTTACAAAATAGTTGAGTAAATTGTGTACTTAGGTTCAAGTGTCTTTGTGCATATTAGTTTACTTCAGCTAAAAAATATTTAAATCACTTGATGGGGGCTTTTAAGTAATGCCAGGAGAGGAGAACAGTTGGAGGGGTTAACTGTGTATCTGGATTATATAACAGTGGGTTTATCCTGATATCTATCTATCCCTTCTCCTACTCCTGTGGATACAAGTACAGCAACTTTAATGGAATGAGCCACTCGCTGTTTTCTTGGCTATCCAGGACTGTCTAGGATCAACATAGCTTAGATAATAGTCCAGTTTCTCACGTGGGTGGGCATTGTTAAGGTTCAAACCCACACCCTCACTATATCAGTGTATTTACCCACGTGGGCGCGCGACATATACAATTTCAGCAAAATCTTAGAAGTTACCTTTTACAACAAGATTGTTGGGAAGTGGTGCGTCTAATATTCCCCCTCCTTTACCCAAAACATAGAAGCTTACACAGGGAGGAGGAAGGGAGAAAGGACCCTTACAAATATCAAGCTTGTCCTGCATCAGCTCACAAATGATGCAGAACCAATCAGTCTACCTACTCGTATATTTCCCAACACATCAGCATTACTTGGAGAACATATATAAAGATTCTGTTATATTTTTTTTCTTAACTGTTTACCAACAGTGTTAAGGTTTTCCTTTTTGAAGCACTTTACATCCCATGTTCTCATGATTTTCTTTTGTAGACCGACTCTAGCAATTCTCCTTCTTCACTTCCTCCAGGGGTATCAAGGGAAATAAAGGTTCTGGTTCTGGCTACCTCAGTCATAGACACATTGCTTGGTTGTGGAGTTCCTATGATGTTAACTTTTAATTCTTTTTGTGATGTACCTCATGCACTAAGTCCGACTCCTTTTTTGTTTTATACCTTGCATACCATTCTCTATAAGTGGGCAAAATATTTTATTTGCTGTATTTGTAGTTTAGTATTGTCTATATGGCAACTTTTTCTTTGACATTACTCCTAATTTTATCTTTTAATGCTTATTAATTTTGAGTATCGTACAGTAATACTGTCCAGTTTATTGCCTTCACTTCTACTACTCATTCTTTATCTAATATACTTTTATTGCTAAGTTTTGTGAAATGATCTGCCTGGTGTGGGGGCCTCATTATCAACTGAGTTTCTTCAGTTGGCTAATAAGTTTCTTGGGACAAATACCTGTAGTAAGAGGTTTAAAATAAAAAATAAATTTAAAAAATGAGTGGTTGTGGTTTCAATGCGGAGGAGGATAGAAGTTGTTTAAAAAAGGAAAGTCTTGCATTTAATGTCACAACATCTAGCGTGAGAATGGAGGTGGAAGCCGTAATGGCAACTGTTCTATAGCTGGAGAGTATAGTACAACCTGACATACTGTAACTGACTCGCACTTCAAGCTTTATAAATTAAAAACTGCTGTCTCGCGCTCATAGTTGAGTAGAGTCAAGAACTGACATAACAGCACTTGGTGCATTCCTATATGCGCTCCATCCTTAGCCTTAGCAGCCAGTGCAGAGTTCCAAAACTAATGGTGCCGGTCGTAGTCTGGTTGTATGTCAGTCTTTCCTTTCCTCTGAGCAGTGTGCCGGCCGAACCCTTTGGTCACACCCAGGTGCATCCTTCTCTCCAGCCCATAATAATCTAGTATAAGAACCAAGGCTGTTTTCTAGGAAACAATTGGTGGTACTTATCATAGAGTGTCTTAAAAAGTTTTTACTACTGTAGCGCTGAAAAAAAACCTTAAAAAATTACAGGTACTCTGTACCACCTTGATAAAAGCCCTGATGGTAACTCTTTTTTGTTTTTGCTACTGAGGAAATAAATGGAGAACATGTGGGAATGTCTAGAGTGCAGTAAAGTCAATCTTTGATTCATTCATTCATTGGGACAAATAATCTGGTAATTCCCCCATTGTTTTTCCACCCCCTCTTTGGCTTAGAGGTTATAAACAGTTTCACGATTTGGATATACCAAATTTAATTCTGGTGAATTGACTGCTGAGTGTTGATTTTGACAAAAAAAACAAGCATTTACCATTCAGTAAGCATTGGCAAACTACTAAAGATAAACTTGCCTAGTAAAAATTACTAACAGCCAACAAATAATGGGGTTGGTCTGTGGCAACTTGCGAAGGATAGCCAACTGAAAATTTCTTACTCCACCCACTTCCCCATTAAAATACTGTTCTAAACATTGAAAAAACAAAAAAATACTTATAAACAGCATTATGTTTATAAACTTGTTTTGACAGTATTAAATGCTGCAGTAGTGTAAAAGGAACAGTAATAAAAAGCATGGTTCCTGGGAAAAAAGGCAGGAACTGACCAGACTTGAGATCGATCATAAATTTCTACTTTTGCTATTAAGCCTTGTAGAGAGGAACAGTTTGTGATTTATTTCTTAATGGGCAGAAATGGCTACTCACATTCTGGGTCTATGTAGAAGCTCTTTAACATCATCAGTCCATTTTCTCCCAGGGCAGCCTCTTGCTCTCAGTTAAAATCTTTTCATGTGTAGTGCCTGCGTTGGCTGTTGTTCTAGCTGCATTCTTACTAAATGACCAAACCATTTGATCTTCTGTTTCTCAATGAATTTGCTGCATGATGTTGTTCCTATATTCTGTCTGATATCATTTCTAACTTTGTCTACGATGGTTAAGTTAGCAGCTTTTCTCTGGAATCTAATTTCACAAGTGTTAATTTTACGTAGGTTACCCTTTGATAATGTCCAGGTCTGGCACTGGTAGCACAGTGCTGGTATGAATATGCTGTTTATAATATGTTTCTTGGTGCTTATACTTATGTTTGGATGTCTTAATAATGGTGTCAGTTGGTATATAAATGACTGGCTTGTTGGAAACTTGATTCTATTTCCCGATCTATTCTCCCGTCCTCCGAGATTATACTTCCCTGATATTTAAATAAAGGTTGATGAAGGACATTTAAACACATGACATGGACAGATGCGGGTTCTCTACCTCAAGATCAGGGACATTTTGTAAACTTATCAGCTTGATTCAAACCTGGTATTTTCAACTTAAAGATAGATGTTATACCTCTATGCCACCCCAACTCCAAACAACTGAAGTATGTCCATAATGTATGTGTGAAGATCTGCAATGAGAGAGCTATGAACTAGAAGAAAGCATATGGGAGCGTGCTGCCTTTGATCATTCTCCCAACAGTCAATAGATATTGTAATAATAATAATCATAATAAGAAGAAGAAACAGAGGAGGAGGAAGAATAAGAATAAGAAAATGGATAAAGGAGAGGATAGCAGAAGAAACAGATGAAGGAGAAGGGGGAGAATTAAAAATCCTTTTTCTCCAAGTCCTCAGCTTGCTCCGAAACATTTATGTTGCTGATAGATGTAAGGGAAACTTATGCCACAAGACCAAATCCTTTAATGTGCAGTCTTTTAGAAAAGTTAACTTCAGTAACTTCTCAAAGATAATTTATTAAATACAAAACATTAGCAATATAACAATTTACATGCATTTTACATACAGATATATATAATCAAAACTATTCATTTTCTTATTATAAATCAAGAACAAATATTTTCATACCATGTTTTAAAATAAAACACAACAGTGCAAACATTTTAACAACACAAAAGTACACATTTAACAAATGACTCTACTCAAAGCTGACGTCTGTGGTTTATGCATTGTGAACACTCGTCGTGGTGCCAGGGTGCCGGGTTCGATTCCAGCTTCAGGTGATCTGGCAGCAGACTGCCTTGAATTGGTTTCAACAATGATATCGAGAGCTGACTGTTCAGAGAGCAATAGGAAACCACTAAATGTAAACTTTGCCTAGAAAAACCACAAAAAACAACAACAAAATGTTGTGATTGCTTCTGCAACATCTTATAAAGAATAGAATACAGAATATTCAACTAAATGTAACTAACCCTACTCAAACAGCAATGTCATAAAATTTGCATATAAAACATGTGATCAAGACAGAATGCCATGATTTTTTTTATTCTATGATCTCAGCCACTGGCCAATAGTGTCAGAGATCTCTTTACGGGCTGTCACCAGCTGTGGAGGATCTTCAGGTGTCGATGGATACATGTTGGCACAGTGAGCAGTACCTGAATATGAGCAGACAAGTTTGCATTATAATATTTTACTATCCATAATCTACATAATGTGGAAACAATATAGTAAAAAAAGAAAGAAAAAAGTAAAGGACCCTGTTCCACACCTTTAGGCGTATAGGGCATATAGGGCTAGACCTATATTTTATAGACCAATCGGCACAAGATGGGTGATGTGGTCAGCATCACTCCGGCCGCCTTTACTTCCCGGGACTGCACCCAGTACCCACTCAAGGCTGGGTCGACTGGGAGCAAAGGTCATTTTTGAAGAAAAGTCCGGCTCCGCCAGGGAGCAAAGCCACGACCTTCCGATTCTCGGCATGAGTCTAGCTGCTCTGCCATGGCGACTCCCGTTGACACAATATACTGCCTAATTAACATTCAGGCATATTATGCTGTATCTTGTCAGGTGTTACAGGTGTCAGAGTTACATCAACATATAATTAAACACGCCAAAAAAAAGCCTTTCTACTGAAATACACAAATTACAGTGTCTGGAATCTGATAGTGAAAAATAAATTAAAAATAGTTTTTACTTTTTCTAGCCAACGTGATGTTGATTTCATCGCCCCACTAAGTGCCAACTGGTCTTAAAAATATGAATCTAGCATCATATGCCAAATGCACCACTGACAGGAAAGGGGTCCTTTGCTTAACATTTAATTTTTAAAAAAAAGTTTACAGTCATGCCATGCCATACTGAGTTTGTATAATGTTTGTCACAGTTTTTTTGTCAAGTGCATTGCCAATAACTTCTGATAACAATGTTCTTCTAAACCATGTCCCTAAGTTCTGTAACATCTTCTTTCTTAGTCTTCTTCTGATTCAATTCCACTGAAACTTTTGTACTGTCAAAATTTACTTCACATTTTGCCGTCTCATGACAATGAATGAAATTAGCCTCTCTAAAAGTTATATTACACTGTTCTTTTACATGGCTTGGGTTGAGTTAAGAACCGACATTACGGGAGTTGGGACATTCCCATAAACGCTCCATCTCAATCATTAGCAGCCAGCAGAGTTCCAACACCGATGGTAGTGGCAGCAGTTTGATGATATGTCCTTGTTGCCCTTTCTCGGAGTGTTGACCGGATCCCCTGATCCCCTCCCTCTGTACCATTCACATCAGACACTGATGATCTGTTGGTGCCGATGCACTGTCCACTCCCTACCAAACAGACTTGCTAACATCAAGCTTGTCATGCATCAATTTACAACCAAGTAGTGCTGAACAGGCCAGTCTGTCTGCTTGTCTGTTTTCCAACATACTTCCATATCCCAAAGGAAATACCCAAAAGACACTAACCATCATGGACCTCTGAAGCAATGCCTCAGCATGAAGTACACCTGTCTCTACCTTTCTCAAGATGCTTTACGAATCTGTCACAGTCAAAACATGTGTGTGCAGCCGATTTTCAGGCCAGCAGAAGGCAGCAGTAGCTGCCTTAATCTCCATTTCTGTCTGGCATGCTGCCAGTCATTCCTGATACAAATGGTCTTCCGTATCTTGATCCTAAGCTGTGAAATAGTTTCCTCTTGGTCTTCTTCTGCTTCAAGTCTCCTCAAACTTTTGTGTTGTGAAATTTCCTTTGCTCAAGTTTTATTTCTATGTATTTCCATATGGTGCAAATGCTTGACAAAGAGTAGTAAAATAGAGATTTGGGTTTGAAATTAATGTTAAAATATCATAGGCAGAGAACACTTCTTCTGTGTTAAAAGGGCAAATGGCATTATTCTGTGATTTACAACTAAACTGTGATATCTGCATCTTAGGCCAACACATCAGATTTCAGTAAAGCCATAATTAGTTGCCTGTTATAACATGCTTGTTATAGGGGTGGTGGAAAATGGTTAGAAAAGAAAGCATGTGAAAGCTAAAGATTGGTGTCAAAAATAATACTGAACATCAACTTAAAATATCAGGGAGAAATTAATTAGGTGTTTTTATAAAATCAATATACTCCAACCAAAAGTTATTTTCAACAACTGATCCAGGAGAAACAAAAACAACTGAAATTAGATTTGTCCATTTTAAACAGAACATGCTAGAATTAAATATATATATATATATATATATATATATATATATATATATATATATATATATATATATATATATATATATATATATATAGATAGATAGATATACTCCTAGCATACTTTCCTATACAGATACTGCTCTGGTCTATTAAAAACAACAAGCCAACTTCAGTGTTCTACACATTCAAATGTTAGCAGTTGAGTTGAGTAAAGAATTGACATCACAGCACTAGAGGAATTCCCATCCATGCTCCATCCTCATCTTCAGCAGCGAGCGTAGAGTTCCAATACTGATGGTACCGGTCACAATCTGATTATATGTCCGTCTTGCCTTTTCTCTGCGTGTAGTGAGCCAGCCAGACCCTCTGGTTACACCCAGATGCCTCAAATGTTAGCAGTCTTTACAGATAGAACAGTATAATATACTGTCTGTGTCCTCAGTATTTAAATTCACAATGGAAATAGTGTTTTGAGTTTCAGTAACGCATGTGCTGCTTGGATTATAGATTACAAATTTGTTGTGTATCCTGTCGCTGACCCCATGAAGATATACAATCATATAGTGAGTGTAAGGATTTGAATCCTTACATTGCACACCCACGTAAGAAACTAGACTAATATCTGAGTTATGTTGATCCCAGACAAAGTCCTGGATAAACAAGAAAACAGCAAAAGTGGCTCGTACAATAAAATGAAAGTAGCTGTACTTGTATCCACAGGAGTAGGAAAAGAGAAGTTAGATATCAAGATGAATTCAATGAGTGAATATCAAGACACACAGTTAACCCCTTCCAACTTTTTCCTCTCCTGGTATTAAGTTATAACAAAAGCTCCCATCAAATACACTGTATGTGTCCGCAATATTTAAATTCTTGATAGGGAAAATGTTTTGAGTTTCAGTAATGCATAGGAGTCGCAGCGGCGTAGTGGCTAGACGCTCGTGTGCGGATGGGAAGGTCATGAATTCGCTCCCTGGCGTAGCCAGACTTTTTTTTAAAAATGACCTTAACTCCCAGGTCGACCCAGCCTTGCATGATTACTGAGTGCAGTCCTGGGAAGTAAAGGCGGCCAACCTGATGCTGACCACATCACCGATCTTGTGCCGATTGGACTATAAAAATATAGGTCTAGCCCTAAATGCCCTATACGCCTAAAGGCGTGGAAAAGGGACCCTTACTTTAGTAAGGCATGTATGATAGGATTAAAGATTAAAAGTTTTGTTGTGTATCCTTTACAGCAAGGGCCATTCAACAAAGTTTGCTCAGGGACCAGAAGGTTGAAAATAGATATTGTCATTGGCCCAAGCCCTAGTGTAAAAAGATGATGATTACAATTCAACTGTTAATGATCCAGGGGCCACTTACTAAGCCTCTTCTGGCTGGATTTGACCAATAGGCCACCTTTTGAAAATCCCTGCTTTATAAAACATTGTGAACCAGCATGTGTTGGCTGTTTGTGGTTTTACTAGGCAATTTTACATCCAGTAGTTTGTCACTGCCATACCAGTCAAAATTACTGCAAAGCAATCTGCTGCCAAATCACCTGCAACTTTCCAATGGCTTGAACAGCAGCACAGGCCAACATACCATAATTGTAATGGATTCACAGAGAATGCTTTGAAAAATTAGGACTCACATCCTACACATAGAGTGGTTTACATTACTTGATAAGACTCAGATCAGAATCATTCGATGAATTTTACTGTCCAGAATATTTAGGTGTGTGAGGCAATGACCAGGCTGATAGATTGACTGCTGCCACTCCTCTGGGCAGTGAGCTACTTTATGATAAACCTGATATGGTGAAGATTCTCTGGGATCAAATGGACAGTGTAATAAATCACAAGGGGAATTCCTACATTTAAAGAATAATTCAATGGAAAGGGGTAGGGGGGGGGGGGGGGGGGGGGGGGGGGGGGGGGGGGGGGGGGGGGGGGGGGGGGGGGGGGGGGGGGGGGGGGGGGGGGGGGGGGGGGGGGGGGGAGATTCTGGAAGATATTTAACACCAAGGGGGAAATGTAGGCGGATTTTTAATAAGATTGCAACTGGTACCATTACCTTGTCGACTCTTTAACAGCTACTAAGGAAGGGATTGGGGCAGGTGTGGGAATGCCCTGAGTGCATTGATGTCAATTCTTGATTTATTCATTCATTCGTCATCTCCAGCCTAATCGAACCCCATATATATCGAAACTATGAAATTGTATTCAAAACCCTGAAGCCACCAATTGAGCCAGCTTAGACTGCAGTACGTAAATGATACAACAAACATGACAATTGGAAACTGAAAGGAAACAAGGAGAACTCACCATTAATAAAAATAGCTCGAGCCTCAGGATTCAGATCTTCCAGCACACCTAGAGCATGCCAGGGATCAATGGAGCCATTTGGGAAAAGTACTCGAGTGATCTGAATGCCCAGTGCACCGTAATCAGTATTTGACCGCTTGACTGCTGTTTCTATGACAGTGTTGTTGAAGCTTGCTCCAAATATGTCTGCACACTGCTGCGTCCAAAAACTGAAAATAGTATGTTACTCAGATCAGATAATTGTTATTGTGGTTATCGGCTTCTTGGTCTTGAGGCATGGTGTCCACCTTGAGTGCTAGAGGTCCCAGGTTCAAGCCCCGGTGAAGGCTGGGATTTTTTCATATGGACTTCTAATAGTTTCACCTGGTCTCTGGGTAGTAAGTTTGGACATCTGTGTGTATTGTTGCACACGTAAAAAAATCCCTTGGCAGTTGAAAATCGAAAAAAGAGTAGCTCAACGGCGCTGCCTAGGCAAAATTTGGAGTTAAAAATCTACCTAAGGTATTTCAGGATCCTCGCCAGTGCTACAGAGTTCGTGCACTGCGCTGAGAACCTTCGGACTCGGCTTGAGTCAGAAGTAGAACGGAGCACTTATGGGTTACTACCTTTGTGCCATGATGTGGATCCGTCGTCTGAACCTAAACCATCTGCTTCTGTCTCAGTAATAAACAAGGGTAATGTGTCGGACCTTAACTACTGGGGCCCTATGTTGGGGGGGGGGGGGGGGGCAACAAAAGAACCACTCTCCCTTCCCTCCCTCCCCCTTCCCCAACAAGCAGGTCGTAAATGCCAACTAAGTAGGAGTGTTTCTTTCAAAGTCATACTGCATCTGCATGAGAGGCAAGGAACCAGCAGTCTGCAAACAACTAAACCAGATCTGTAAAATGGATATGTACTCACTCATAAGTCACGTCTCCTCCCAACTTTCTCATCTCATGAACTTTCATGCCCAAGTCATCTTAAATATCTTGTGCTCCATGCTGGTCAACCCCTGCCTCTTCTACTATGAACCAAAGCCTTCACTACTGTTCTGTCAAAACTATTATGGGGTTTAAAATGGTCAAAGTATTTAAGTTTTCAGAGGTATCTAAAACCTTTGGAGTCATCAAAGATGCAAACAGCGGGAAATGGAGAGTTAGAAGCAACAACAAAATTCACAAACCACCACTGATCACTGGCATCATGAGAGCTAATAGACTGAAATGGCTGGTTCATATTGAGAGAATGTAAGATGACAGAGAGGTAAAAACTGTATACACAAGGGAGCCAATTGGTCAGAGACCATGATTCAGACCAAGAAGAAGATGGAAAGATAATGTCTAGACAGATCTGCAAACATTCGGTATCACAACTGGAAAGAAAAGGGCAACCAGAGAGATGGGAGGAGGCAGGTGATATCTGCAGCAATGAACCTCAAAGGCTCGGAATGCTGAAGAAGAAGAAGAGGTAGCTTAATAATTAATGTCAACAAAACAATACAAGGCTATTTTAAGACACTGTTCCACTTACTCAATAGGGAAGTCATGACCAAATGGCTGATTAGTTGCATCTGATGACTGGTAAAATGCAAACTCTGTGCATGTCTGGTACGTCCACTGTCGACCTAAACATCAAAGAATCATTTCTCTAATTTAAAATAATTATCAGTTATGTGCAGCAAAAGAATAATTCTTCTACTTTTTGTTTGTGTTCATCGGTTGTAAACCTCAGTGGAAAGTTCTGGTTGTTCGCCCACTTCTGGACTTCAGTCTTATTCTAGAACTTGAGTTTCACGTGCACACTTGTTTTGCAGAATGGCTTATTCATATGCAGACTGTTGGTTCCTCACCTCACAGGTAGATGCACTCAATTAGTCGGCATTTATGACATGCTTATTTGCTTGTTGGTGGGGGGGGGGAAGAAGTCGGTCTATTCCTTTTTTATGTCCTCAAGATGGGGCCCCGGAACCCACAAGGGGATAGTAGTACAATTAGTGTGATTTTTTTTTACCAAGGTAGTGATCTTGGTTCAGTAATCAGAAGTGACAGGGTTATTTTCTCTTAACAAGTTTAGTTCTGGGGTCAACCCAACCTCATAAATACTTTTTAAACGTAAAGGATATTTTTATGCCAGTAGGGCACCGGGCATATGATGCTAAACTCATATTTATTTACTGGCCAATCGGCACTCAGTGGGCATTGTGGTTAACACTGTGCCAGCCGCCTTTTCTTCCAAGGACATTTTCTGATACCCATTTTAGGCTGGGAGATCTAGGGGGGGGGGGGGGGGGGGGGGGGGGGGGGGGGGGGTTTGGGGGGGGGGGGGGGGGGGGGGGGGGGGGGGGGGGGGGGGGGGGGGGGGGGGAGGGGGGGGGGGGGGGGGGGGGGGGGGGGGGGGGGGGGGGGGGGGGGGGGGGGGGGGGGGGGGGGGGGGGGGGGGGAGGCAACTCTGAACAGAATTTGAATCGATGTGGTTTCAAAAGCAAGTCGTTCAGGTCGGCAGCTGAGTCTCTAGCCACCATACTACCACAAATCTTACCTCATAAAACTGTGATGGCATCTAATTGACTGACTGCTTTGTTTTAGTATCCAGAAGTCATGAGTTGTTAACCCTTAGGCTCGGTATTATGGATATCGCAACCTTTTGGCCTTGATTCCATTGTAAATACCGTAAATCTGGGAGAAAATGTGGCTTTTCTGCCTACCCCCGGAAGTGAACCCGGACCACAAGGAGTTCGTCACCCGGTCACCGCGTAATCCAGTTTAGCCAACTAAGGCACTTGTAAAAAGTTGGGAGAATTTTTTCAACAACTAACAAACCAAATTAGAAAAATTAATCAATCCTTTGGGAACTTAAGAATAATTATTATTATGCACTGTGGAGAGGAACCTGGTTGGCAATTCTTAGCATCAGTTAGGGACAACATCGTTGTTGAGCAGAATAGAGCCCATCTAAAGATGGCTGTGCCTGTGTTAACTGTAGCTTTGAGGTGGCTAGCTGATACTCAAGCACTAAAGTATCCAGTCCATACGATGCACATTTCAAAGTGAACAGATATGGTATGAACAAACAGTAGAGATGTTTCTTTATTACATGTCTTATGTGTACATGCTGTTAGGATTATGTTAGAGTGCCCACTCTTATTGACATGATACACTATGATGATAAGATAATAGTTCTGAGACAGATAATACTTCTCTCACATGGATAAGCTATTTCTCCATCATTAGCTCACAAACAATTCAGGTACCTACTTTATACACTAAAATGATGCTTGGATCATACTAGAAATCTGTTGTTTGTTTGCATTCACCCGCTGTATTGTCCAGGGGAAAGTACTGGCTTTTAGTCCCTGTCTGGGCTTTGGTCATGCTCCAGGACCGGAGTTTTGCGTGTGCATCCATTTTACAGATCTGTGCAGTCTGCTTGTTTCTTGCCCATCAGACAGATGCAATCTGACATCAAAGGAAACAGTGATCCTATCCCTAGAATGACTGCAACCAATCTGAGCCTTTTGCTGCCATTTAATAAAAAGTAAAGTAAGTAAAAATCTCTTTTTATGCCTTAGGGGCATCAGGCATATAGGAAAAGAACCCATACTCTAACAGACCATTCGGCACTAGGTGGGTAATGTGGTCAGCATTACGCCAGCCATGTTACTTTCCCAGGACATATATCCGGTACCCATTTTTTTTCCACTGAGTCGACCGACCTGAGATGCCCCGTACCATGATAAAAATCCACACAGCCAGCAGTGGGTTTTGATTGTGGTACATTGGAATTACAAGTCTGACTCAAAACGCCTAAGCCACGGACGCCGCTTGCCATTTAATAGGACAATATTTATCCAAAGACATCGAGACCTTTGTCATTCAGGATGAGGCTCAAGTCATGAATTTTGCTCATTGTACAATGAGTGAGGAGCGGCTGGCCAAGCAGTTACAATGTCAGGCTGGGTTCGACACCCAGTAAGGTGATAGCGTTTTTTTTTCTGTCGGGTGCACAATTAAACATCCTAACCTGCACAGTCCATGGTGACAGCACTGCCATGGGGCCCTAAATTCTCATGCTCATGACCCCCTGTCTACACTGACTTAAAAAGTGGTACATAGAGTAGAGACAGTAGAATAAGTCCTCTATAGATGTTGTCACCCATTCAGTATGGGTCAGCTGATGAGTGCCAGAGGTTGTCTGGACACAACATCTCTGGGGGCCACAAGTTAGGAGACCCCCTGCCATCTCTGTTTAGGCAGACATAAGCCACTACCAAGGCACACAACATGAAAGTGCAGCTGGAGTCTTGCACAAAACCAGCAAAGAAAATGCTAGCACCCAAGATAAGGTTCTGGGTATGCTTGTATACAACCCAATGAACTTTTTCCTCACACTCATGTCAGAAATCATCACGCTCCTGTGAATCTGTTACTTCTGTGGACACACAAGTCAAACATACAGAAACACATTAGGAATACCTCCTTCTGAAGCGCTGCTGTTCCATGATGTCGCTCTCATGCTGTCAAGCATTTTATCATACTTGAAGTCCTGACAATCTTGCGAGTAAGCCTTCAACAGTAAGGCATTCACCTGGTAGGTAAATACATAACATTCCATCATGCATTAAATTCACCTCACAGGTAGATATAAAACATTCTAAGTTGAGTTGGGTCAAAAATTGACATCACAGCACTCGGGGCATTTCTATGCATGCTCCGTCCTCATCTTCAGCAGCCAGCGCAAAGCTCCAATACTAATCGTACAGGTCACAATCTGGTTATATGTCTGCCTTGCCTTTCCTCTCTGAGTGTAGTGAGCCGGCCAGACCCTCTAGTTACATTCATATATATATACATATATATAACATTCTTTATGCATACATGTTTATTCAACCAGCACAATGTAAAATGTCAGCTTGAAGATGACAACATTATCTACTGAGTACCGACTGGTTTATAAAAATCTAGAATCACATGCCTGATGCAACTTTACTTTAATTCAAACTCATTTTCCTTCCAAGTCGGACTGCATCTGCCTGAGAGACACGTAACCAACAGTCTGCATTAAAAAAAGCCAGATCTGTAAAATAGATTTTCACACAACACTCAAGTTCTGGAACAAGACTGAAGTCCAGAAGTGTATAAATGAACTAGAACTTTCCGCCTGAGTTTTCAGCTGGTGAATATGAATAGGACATGTATCACTTAAATAGCATTACAATTTTAAAACTTCAATATTTTCAATGAAAAATGCTGCATGACTTAAAACAGTAAAACAAGGCATGGTTTCTAGAGGAAGAGGCATAGATCAATCATTTTGAAGATATCTTGGGTTAACCAAAAAAAATTCAGGGGAGTAAGTCAGGGACTGAACATCTTTCCAGTGGGCTGGGATTGGACTATTTATGAGATAATATAATACTGAAATGAGAAATCACTGTAACATAGAAGTTCATCATCCTCAAGCAGTTTCATTTTCAAAACAGCACTTCCTGTCCTTTGTTTTCATAACAGCTTTTCTATCCTAACAGCTTGTTCTGTCCTTTGTTTTCATAACAGCTCTTTCCATCATTCGTTTTCATAACAGTTCTTTCGGTCCTTCGTTTTCACAACAGCACTTCCTGTTCTTTGTTTTCATAATAGCTCTTCCTGTTCTTTGTTTTCATAACAGCACTTCATGTTCTTTGTTTTCATAACAGCTCTTCCTGTTCTTTGTTTTCATAACAGCTCTTCCTGTTCTTTGTTTTCATAATAGCTCTTCTTGTTCTTTGTTTTCATAACAGCACTTTCTGTTCTTTGTTTTCATAACAGCTCTTCCTGTTCTTTGTTTTCATAACAGCACTTCCTGTTCTTTGTTTTCATAACAGCACTTCCTGTTCTTTGTTTTCATAACAGCTCTTCCTGTTCTTTGTTTTCATAATAGCACTTCCTGTTCTTTGTTTTCATAACAGCACTTCCTGTTCTTTGTTTTCATAACAGCTCTTCCTGGTTTTTGTTTTCATAACAGCTCTTGCTGTTCTTTGTTTTCATAACAGCTCTTCCTGGTTTTTGTTTTCATAACAGCTCTTCCTGGTTTTTGTTTTCATAACAGCTCTTCCTGTTCTTTGTTTTCATAACAGCACTTCCTGTTCTTTGTTTTCATAACAGCACTTCCTGTTCTTTGTTTTCATAACAGCTCTTCCTGGTTTTTGTTTTCATAACAGCTCTTCCTGGTTTTTGTTTTCATAACAGCTCTTCCTGGTTTTTGTTTTCATAACAGCTCTTCCTGGTTTTTGTTTTCATAACAGCTCTTCCTGTTCTTTGTTTTCATAACAGCTCTTCCTGGTTTTTGTTTTCAAAGCAGCTCTTCCTGGTTTTTGTTTTCATAACAGCTCTTCCTGGTTTATGTTTTCATAACAGCTCTTCCTGTTCTTTGTTTTCATAACAGCTCTTCCTGGTTTTTGTTTTCAAAGCAGCTCTTCCTGGTTTTTGTTTTCATAACAGCTCTTCCTGGTTTATGTTTTCATAACAGCTCTTCCTGGTTTTTGTTTTCAAAGCAGCTCTTCCTGTTCTTTGTTTTCAAAGCAGCTCTTCCTGGTTTTTGTTTTCACAACAGCTCTTCCTGTTCTTTGTTTTCAAAGCAGCTCTTCCTATCCTTAGTTTTCGCAACAGATCTTGCTTAAACACATTTTCACACTTGTCCTATCCTCAGTTTTCACAACGGCTCTTTCTGTCTTAGTTTCAGCATTTCTGTTCTATGCAACCTTCTCTATTATATCTTATTTATTTGTGAGCATCATTTCACTTGCCTTAATCTAGTTTCCTAGTTTTAGTCTGTGTTGTATTAATTTATGTGATGGAAATGAGGTTTAATACTGAGCATAAATTATGTGCTTGAATTCAGTTGAATAGTACTGAGTATGAAGTATCAGGTATGAATGAACAGATCGAGTAATAAATAACTCGAGACGAGTGTGCAAGTTGGTTGAAGTGTGCCAGATGTGAAAAGCATGAAGCATGTGAAACGTGTGCAGAACTGGAGAGGGAAAATGCTATTTAAACATTGAATGAATAAGAAGTTTTAGTCTTGTTTTCCATGAGAAAGCTGGGCCATTTGTCACTGGAAGAAGATAAAGTGAGAGAATCTTCAAAATAAGTGAATGTTAGATTGAGCAGTTGACATGTGCTAAAAACCTAACTATCCCTTTCATACAAATGGCTAAGCTAGCGCCCGCTGTGAGATGAGCTTTTCTGCTGAAGTGTACCTTTGGTAGCTTGTTTGTGTTCAAGATTGTGCTGAACTATCTGTCAGTGTACCTGAGAAGGCTGAATGCGACTGCAGCCCCAGTAGAGTCGTTGCAGTAATGAAACTCGTCCGACCGAAAAGATCTAGAGGCTACAAGAGCCACGACTGAAGTTTGGATAGACCAGCAACAGATATGCTGAAGAACTACTGTGAATAATAGTGGTGGAAACTGTCATCTACGAAGCAGAGAAATGCAACTGTCAGTCTACGTTAGTACGATTGTGAGTCTTAAAACTAGATATTTACAGCACTTCTGAGGCCCTGATCTATGATCATCTGTTGACTATGTAAAAAAACTGTTGCTGACAATCAGTTTGGTATGCGCAGTGGGCTATCTGCACAAGTCAACAATCAATCACAAAGTAATGGATAAACTTCTTACTGAAGTTTGAACAATGGATCAACATCATGGCACACGGGTAGTAACCCATAAGTGATTCCGTTTTTCTTCTTACTCAAGTCTGAGTCCCAATAAGCTCAGCACAGTGCACAGACTCTGTAGCACTGGCGATGATCCTGAAATACTTTGGGTAGATTTTAAACTTCAAATTTTGCCCGGTCAGCGCCGTTAGGCTACTTACTTCAATATCCCAGTGCATCTGCCTGAGAGGCAAGAAACCACATCTGCATACAAATAAATAGACATAATATAAAAAAACAAAAAAAAACATTACTAACAAAGGGCATAAAAAAAGGTAAAGAAAGCATTAAGCACAAACCTCAGCATATCTTTGGAGGGGATCCCCTAGAGACGGGTCTGTCATGATGCCACACAATGTGTCTATGGTGATGTTTGTAGCCTTAGCACCCTGGAGATGAAGAATCAATCAATGGTACATCCAGAATAAAGTTTACAACAAGGAAGAAGTTACTTATTTGCTAGATAAACGCTCAATCCAAAAGAATACATATTTATATACTTGAAGTATTATAAAAGTCTGCATTTGATCTTAAGCAGAAATATTGTCTCAAATCCAATCTTTGTAAAACTTCTTAACCCTCCCCCCCCCCCCTTGCAATGAGATTTATCTTGTTCATCTAAACACCAGTGTGGGTTCCGGGGCTCTGTTATACGGAAAACAAGAACAGACCCACTGCCTACCAAAAAGCATGTTGTCAGAGTCGACTAATTGGGGGCTTCCTTTAAAGTCGGAGTGCATCTGCCTGAGAGGCAAGGAACCAACAGTCTGCATACAAATGTCAGATCTGTAAACATATGCACACGCAACACTCAGGTTCTGGAACAGGACTGCAGTTCAGAAGTGGATGAACAACCAAAACTTTCCGCCAGAGTTTACAGCTGGTGAAGGCGAAGAAGAAGAAAAGTTAAACTAAACAGCTACTTTTCTAAAACCCACACTATTGTGTTCATACAATTTCTTCACCGGCTACACATCAAACAAAAAAATAAATAGCATATTTAATATGAGATGCTGTTTCATATTGCTGATACACATTTACATTAACTTTTCAGTCTAGATAAGTACAAATCACATATTGAGTAAGCTGAGATTCTTCTTCTTTGCGTTCACCAGCAGTAAACTCTGGTGGAAAGTTCTGGTTGTTTGTCCACTTCTGGACTGCAGTCCTGTTCCAGAAACTGAGTTTTGCGTGTGCATCCATTTGACAGGTCTGACACATCTGTGTGCTGATTTGCTATGTGCATATTGGGGAACTTAAGTATTGGAGGGGTTCCCAGTCAGCTGATGTAAAAGTGCCTGAGTATAGCAGGGAGGTCAAGCTGAATAAGTTAGATGGAGTTTGTTCATTCTTACTGCTAGCCCTGACGTGAGGGTTAGCCAGCAACTGATGCACTAAAGCAGTGAGCTCGAGAGTCTGATTGACAGCGAGTTTACTCTGTACTATGGAGCCCCGCAGAACTGGTTTGGAGAATGCAGAGCTTGAGGGGTTAAATCAGTGTTAGCCAATGTAAAGACATATGTAATGTTGCTCCATTGTCATTCATTGTGTGCAGGTTAGTAGACTGGAATGCTCTTGTGAAATAAATATATGACGGACATCCGCTAAGTTTTCCTGACTGGTGTCAGAGTTCGAGTGCAGATCATAACCTAGACACTTGACTATATGTTCGTATGCTGCCACCCATATTCAGCATACAAAGATTATCAATGTTAACGACACTGACTAAAAGACTCAAGGCAAGAGCCTAAATCACAGCACTGGGTATATTCCCATGTATGCTCTGTCCTCATCTTCAGCAGCCAGCACAGCGTTCTGCATGAGACTGTATAACAGAAATGACCAGATTGTGGTCAGAGAGAAGATGATGACCAGTGTTAACGATACTGACTACATTCAGCAACCAGTGCAGAGTTCCATTTCCTATGTTACCAGTAGCAGTTTGGCTGTACGTCCATCTTGTCTATCCTCTGAATGTGAAGTGTCGGCCAGATTACCTTATCATCCTCCGCTGCACCATTCCCTTCACAAGGTAGTGATCTATTTGGCTTGCCCAATGTTCACTAGCTCTCAAAGGGTTTTGACCACACATAGCTTATCAAGCATCAATTCACCACACAATAGTGCAGCACTAGCTAATCTGTCTGCCTGTTCATTTCCCAACACACCCGCATACTACAGAGAAATGATTTAAAGAAAGCTACCAGGAACCCATAAGAAGTTTTTTTCATCAGCTAGTTGACAATGCCAATATTTCGTTTGATTACTGATGATTCGTTCTTACCTCAAAAGCCCTGTTGTCCTTATTGTACTGGACAACTCCTTCGAAGTTGCCAGCTAAGGTAGAATACAAGTTGGAGATATCAGTCTTAATGTTGGGGTCGATATCATCACACAGTCTGTAAGAAAGCATTGTTGAAGATAATATGTAAGGTGACTATACGGAACAATTTCTTTCTTTGTTACTCTGATTAATCCTTACCCATTTAGGACTGCAGGTTACATGTGTAGCCCCCCGTGTGGGTTCCGGGGCCCCATTGTAGGGGAAAACAAGAATAGACCCACTGCCTACCCAAAAGCATGTTGTAAGAGTCGACTAATTGGGGAGCTTCCTTTGAAGTCGGAGTGCATCTGCCGGAGAGGCAAGGAACCAACAGTCTGTATTCAAGAGAATGAGATCTGTAAAACTGATGCACACGCAACACTCAGGTTCTAGAGCAGGACTGCAGTTCAGTAGTGGACGAACAACCAGAACTTTCCGCCAGAGTGTACAGCTGGTGAACGTGAAGAAGAAGAAGAACATGTGTAGCATTATGGGTGCCTAATTACATGGTTTTTTTAAATTTGGAAATACGCAGAACCTGCACCTTTTTTTAAGGTATCATTTTTTCCCCAAGCACTGTCCTAACAGACAGTTTGTCAAAAGTATCAACACATTTTCTAAATACAATCTGTGGTGAGTACAGGGCCTTTGTTCCTAGGAAGAAAGCTATATCTAATTATAACCACTTTGGAAATATAACTGGGTAACTGGGATCTGCTTTGTTAGTCGTTTTTAAGATCCATCACCATCATCATCATCAAGTGCCTTGCCAGTTGGCATAGGCATTCAAGTGTCGCCACAGATCTCAGTCTTTTTTGATCTGGATCAATTCTACTGATGATATTTCTCCATGCCACTGTCTTAAGCCACCCACCATCATTTCTCCTGGTCTGCCTCTGCCAGAAGTGATCTTTCCAGTCATCACAATATTTTCCAGTGCTCCTTTTCTCATCACATGACCAAAGAACTTTGTCTGTCTCCTTCTCATTGTTGTATATAATGTTCTACTTTCATTAGCCATTTCCAGACAATCATTGTTAGTTATTCTGTAAAACTGAAATTTTTAAAAATCAGGATGGTATGGTAAACTTTTAGGTAGCAGCCCAGATGGTATCAAACTGACTGATCGATCTTTGTTGCTCTTCATTCACCTTAGGTCAGTGGTGGGGAGTGTCTGACCCACAGGCTATGAGGTACCTGAAACATTTAGGCTGGCCCAGACAAGTACAGTTAAATGACTGACCAAATTTTGCTATTCAATTTTTGTTGTCGATAAATTTGAATTTCCCATTGGTTTTATATACCGTAAACTAGGGTCCTAATGAAGCAATGATATGCAATATTAGACACTTAACTTCTCTGAGCCTCTTTTGCTCAAGCCTACCTCACCTTCATTTTGAACTTCAACAGATAACCTGATACTGTAAAGTGCAGCGTATAAGTTGAGTTTTCAAGCCTAAAAATATTTCCAAAAGTAAGAGCCAACTAATGTTTAGATAAGCATGACCTAACTCAGAATAAATCAACTAGTATGCTGCAATCTACAGCATATATATATATATGTGTATATATATATATATATATATATGTGTATATATATAATATCCAAATGACCCAAAGCATATAATTCGCAACGTTTCTCAAGCAGAAGACTCTAAACATAAAGTAAAAACCCCTAATTAGCAGCCTTTTATGACATGCTTGTTAGAGAATGTGGGTCAACCCCCCCCCCCCCCCCCCCCCAAGGGCCCTAGAACCCACATGGGGTTCCAGTATTGGTAAATCTGAACTTCTTTTTTTGTTCACCAGCTGTAAGTTCAGGCACAAAGTCCTGCTTGTTCATCCATTTGGACTTTGGTCTTGTGCCAGGGCTGGAGTTTTGTGTACACATCTGTTTTACTGGCTTATTTGTGTGCAGTTGGTTGTTCCTTGCCACTCAAGCAGATTCACTCTGATTTCGAAAGAAGCTTCTAATTAGTTGACTCTTATGATATGCTTGTTGGGTAGGCAGTGGGTCTATTTGACCCCCCCCCCCCCCCCTGCGCACAATGGGGCGGCCGGAACCCACACCAGGACAATCTGAACTGATAGTAGTGGATGGAAAGTGCTATTGCAAGAACTAATGTATGTAACCAGAGTTAGCAAGACAAAAAGAAGCACAATCATCCACACCAGTCAGCCAGGCATTTGGTGACATCATTATAATGACAAAACTGATATAAACATATGTATGGACTCACTGAAAAACCTTCTTCAATTTCTGCCGTCCTTCTAACGTTGTCAGATCTGTACTAATGGTAGAAGTGGCTGTACTGACGGCATCGTTACAGGCACCAGATGGAACCACAGACCTCAAGGCATCATCAACAACCTGCAGATATGCTGGTAGCAGGGTAAAACAGGTCAATTATATAGAGTACTGCGCTAATGTATCTGCCACGCTATAAGACACATTTTTATTCTCAAAATAGGCCTTACAATTCGGCTGGGTCTTATACAGTGAAGGTAGGCATACATTTGCTGTGAAATTGGTGAATGGGTCCAAAGTCAATGAGAACATTGCTGTGAAGTCTTTTTTGAAGTGTAGTATCAGCAACACGGATGGAAGTAAGGACCATTTTCTCTATGCATCTGAAGATGAAGATTCCTATTCTGACAGGGAGTTCAATGGATCCAATGAAGAAGAAACTTAAGACAACAGCGATTAGAGTGAATCTAAAGGCTTTTGAAGGTCAGAGAATAATTTGTAACATTAGTTATATTGTTCTTTCTGGAGAGGAGAGGACCCCGCTAGGGCTGAAATACTGCCCGAGATGCACCATGTTGACTGACAGATCAGATAATTCTACCCCAGTTCGGTCCTCTCCCAGGTTACTAAGGACCGTGCCATTCATCCCAGATCAGAGTGAACGTGAAAACTTAGCCACTTATTATCATGAGGACACAAATGCCGTGATTGTAACCGACTCACAGAGCATGTTGAGAAAGGTGAAAACAGACATGCTTCATGCAGAGTGGCAAGCATCACTTCAGAGGTCGCTGGTGGTTAACATCCTTTGGATATTTTCTCCAGGTTATGCTGGTGTGTTGGGAAATGAGCAGACAGATAGACTGGCTGGCACTGCCCCATTTCGTGGTGAACTGATGTATGACAAGTTAGATATTGTGAGGGCTCTTTGGGAGCGAGTGAACAGTGAGGAGGCGCAGACAGATCATTACGGTCTAAGGAGAATGGTGCTGCGAGGAGTTACTAAGGAATCTGGCTGGTGATCCACACTCAGGGGAAGGACGAGACGGATATACAATCAGATGGTTACTGGTACCATCGGAATTGGAGCTTTTCGCTTGCTGTCGAATATGGGGACTGAGCACTTATGGGAGTGTCCAGACTGATGTGATGTCAATTCTTAATTCAACATTTTTATAACGAGAGGAAAGACCTTGACTAACTGCATAGGCTTTAGGTGTGCAACCATGAAATCCGTCACATCCGACCGTCAAAGGTGGAGGGATCTGATCAGCCAGTCAACAGTCACAGGTGACCCAATAAGATGCAGTGTTATGGGATGATGATGATGGTATTTTTTCTGGAAAACTTCTTAACATCTTTTAGGAGCATCTTAGACCGACAAATGTGGTATCTATTCTTTTATTTTGTTTTTTTCAACATCTGAGTTCCATCTAATACACATACTGAACATGAAATATATATTGAGAAGCACCTTGCTGAGGAAAACTCTTTGGGGATGTTAACAAACAGAGATCTAGGTTGATGGTTGAAGGTGCACGAATGAAGGTTAAATACAAAAGATCTCCAACCCTAGCTGTCTCTTGCCCTGGTTCTAAACTCTACCTGACCACTGTTTGTCCATCTCTTAATGTTATCTCCCCATTTGTATAGCTATCTACCACTTTCTCATCTGCCTTCCACTTCTCGCTTCTCCACATTACACATTTAGGAGCCATGGTAGTGTTGTGGCTAGATGATCACCTGCAGGTCCAAAAGTCTTAGATTCAAATCCGCAACACGTAGATTATTTTTCCAAATTGTACCAGGCAAGGCAGTGTCTTAGGAAGTTATGGTAGTCGGATTAATGTTGATTAAGTAACCCACTAGGTGCTGACTGGTTTATAAAAATATGATGCTCACATCAAATGCTGGATGTGCCATTGGCAAAAACAGGGTCATTTTTGCTGTCTATCTGTTTCTCCTCTTCCTTCCACTTTTCCCTCCAGTACCTTGCACATTCTTCTTCATCTTCTTCTTCTGCATTAGCCCTCAAAAAGGCATGGCAGTGTGTTTTTGTTTCCATAGGCTCTAACATTTGCACCTTTCAGCCTAACTCAACCAATTTCAGCAAATCCCTAATCTGACATATTTGTTGGGGAGCACTGAGTCTATCTCCCCTCACACGGAATCCACTAGATAACTGATATGTATACGCTTTATGAAATAAAACTTACCTGTAAAATTGACTATTGCCAGCAAGGGAGCACTAGAGGCAACTGCCCCCTGGACAAGATGAGGATACTTTAATCTAAACCAGGCAGACAAGGAACCTACAGAAAACAGAGTCGGTGAAATAAATAACTCATACCATGGACAATATCAAAAGCTAACCAATGCCCTAGTTTGAAAACTTTTAAGAATTCTTCTGTACATGCCACTTAGTTAGTTAGTCTTTCCTTTAGAGCCTAGGGCGGCGCATAGGGCAGAAGTCAAAGCTCTCGATGTCTGGCGGTTCACTGTCACCTGATTTAGGTCTTGGATATTCCTTAGGCAAATAGCTGAGCCTTCCCTGATGATGTTTCTATGCAGTCTCTCATGGTCTTCCCCGTTTTCTTTTCCCTTCCGGGCTTGACGGGTGAGTCTTGTCTTATCCATTCTGAGTACATGACCACTTACAATTTTTAATTCTAATATCAAATCAGTACTGTTGTTGGAGCGGAAACATGGAGACAATGAAGGCAATTACTAAAAAACTACAAACATTTATTAACTGGTGCCTTGGCAGAAAAGTGGGAATTGAATGGTTTGTTAGAATCACTCATGTGAAGCTTTGGAAGAGAATTAAACTAGTTCCAGTGGACCAAGAGGTGAAGAAAATGCTGGTGTTGGATAGGACTCAAGTTGAGAAAACCTGAGAAGAATATAACTGGAACCCACAAGAACACAGAAATGAAGACCAAAAACACACGGAAAAGGGAGCTAGAGAATGAAGTTAAAAAGATGGGGAGGACATAGGGAGAGCTGCATACAATAGCGAAGGATAGAACGACTTGGCATGAGTTGGCTGAAGACCTAGCTCCACTGGGGGTTCGAAGGTAGAAGAAGAAGACATGCCATGTCACATAGATCTTTATTCTACAACCTTCTTCTCATGTATTGACAATAATTTCTTATTTATTTTCTTCCAGACTATGACGACACTCTGTCCAACATCGTCTTTCTTTCCATATACAAGTCATCTCTGCAGTCATCCCCACTGTGGAAATGGCACATATGAACAATAAATCCATTCCTATCTTGCCAGATTGATTTTTTTCTGGTCATATCTTTAAAATATGGAACAAACGAACAATAATTCCATTACTGTCTTGCAAGATTGATTTTTTTGGGGTCATATCTTTAAAATATGGCTTGAATGAATGAATCAAAAAATGACATCACTGCATTCAGGGCACACCCACATGTGTTCTGTTTCCTTCTACAATAACCAAAGAATTCCCATATTGCAGATGCCAGCTGTAACCTGATGAAAGTCTGTCTTTTTTCCCGTGGGTTGAAAACCTTCCAGATGACGGACATGGATATTGCAAATTTACTGGTTCAGTTACATGAGGTTGGACACTGCTATTTGTTAATGGTGTCTTTCTCTTTGCAACTAAAAAGAACATAATCTATATCTGAATGAACAACTGAATGAATGGACAGTTACATGAGGTTGGACACTGCTATTTGTTAATGGTGTCTTTCTCTTTGCAACTAAAAAGAACATAATCTATATCTGAATGAACAACTGAATGAATGGACAGTTACATGAGGTTGGACACTGCTATTTGTTAATGGTGTCTTTCTCTTTGCAACTAAAAAGAACATAATCTATATCTGAATGAACAACTGAATGAATGGACAGTTACATGAGGTTGGACACTGCTATTTGATAATGGTGTCTTTCTCTTTGCAACTAAAAAGAACATAATCTATATCTGAATGAACAACTAAAAGGACAGTTACATGAGGTTGGACACTGCTATTTGTTAATGGTGCCTTTCTCTTTGCAACTAAAAAGAACATAATCTATATCTGAACGAACAACTGAATGGACAGTTACATGATGTTGGACTCTGCTATTTGTTAATGGTGTCTTTCTCTCTGCAACTAAAAAGTAAATAATCTATATCTGAATGAACAACTAAAATAATTCATCAATGACTTAAATTCTATAGGTCCTTTTCTTTTTAGCCTTCTCCATCTGTAAACTCTAGCTGAAAGTTATGGTTGTTCGTCTATTTCTGGACTTTGGTCTTGATCCAGACCTTGAGTTTTGTGTGCACACTGGTGTTACAGATCTGGATTACTTGTATGCAGACCCCTGGTCTCCGATGTACTCCGACTTTAAAGGAAACACCCCTAATTAGTCGCCTTGTACGACGTGCTTGTTAGGAAGACAGTGAGTCTATTTTTGTTTTTTCCCCCCAGAACAGGATCCCCCGAACCCACATAAGGAATTCTGTAAGTATTAACTCACTGGTATTGAGGTAATCAACATGCATTTCTCTATATCAATAGACATGTTATACTTTTTCGATCACCTTGTGACCCAGCTGGTTTTTACACTAATCAGCTATATCCCAGTCATTTTAACTAACTCCTGCCCTAAAAAAAAATAAAAAAAAAGTAAAGATCCCTTTCTACGCCTTTAGGCATATCGGGCGTATGGGAAGAGCGCCCATATTTTTACAGACCATCAGCACTCGGTGGGTAATGTGGTCAGCATTACGCCGGCTGTCTTTACTTTCCCAGGACAGCCCATCCTGGTACACATTTTAGGCTGGGTCAACCTGCGACTCCTGCCCTACAGTGTTATTATTTTAACTCCTTAGATAAACAATCTATAGCTAATGATTAAATGCTTAGAATAGTGTCAGTTGAAGTAACATGTACTTAACACTGGTAAAGTTAAGAAAAGATTTCTTCTTCTTCTAAACTCTCCATTAAAAAGAGGGTTGGCACATGTGTTGTGGTTAGAGCTATGCTGCAATGTATATTCCTTTCAGCCCTACACATCTGATTTCAGCAAACTCTTAATGAGTTACCTTTTAAAGCATGCTTAAAGGTTAAAGTCAAGAGGACCGACTTCATTACACCAGGTTTTATCACATATGGCTCAGTCTCTCTCCGCAAAACAACTACCTACCTGCCGAGAGCATCACACAAAGCATGAATTCTGCAGCTCTGGCAATGATCCCTACAACCTTCAGAGTGAGTCAAACTGCTTGACCACTTCACCATAGAGACACCCCCCCCCCCCCCCCCCACCCACAAGCATGCTTGTTATTGAGCAGAGGGTCTATTCTTTTATTTCCCTAAAAGGGGGCCCCAGAACATACACATGGAATATAAGATTTCCAACCTGGGTATGATCCTCCGAAAGTAATAACACTGGAGAATGTCTGCTTTGATTTCAAGTCAGTAATGAAGGCAGCTAAATCTGCAAGAGCCTGCTCACTGCTCAAGTACTTCAGGTTGTCCACACTTAGGTCTCTGAAATGATAGAAGCAATCAGATAAGAACAATTCACTGGAGAGGGAGTGGAGATTGCATAATGGTGACTACAGACCAGACAGTGACAGCATTAAAAAAAAACTTCACAGGAAAGAACAAACATCAATTTCTAGGCTTTGGGCATGATACTGCAGCCTTGGAGCACACCTGCACAACCTACACAGAAGTCATAAAGCATACAGGAATTTGCTGCCAGCTATGATTGTAGAGCAGACCGATGTTTCTCCTCTCTTTTGTTTTAAATCCCATTTTGTTATGTTTGAGGGGGAGGGGGGACGTTGGAGTTTTACAATATACTCAAGAGGCGCTACCTGAGAAAGGTTGGAGACCACTGCTCTAGACCTACTATCCTCACATATGGACCAGGAAAACAGAAGAAATAGTTCATAGATTAACTGAAGGCTAAGACAGAAACAAAAACAAAAAGTAGATGGTATTCTATTTTTTAAATCTAATGTTATAAAATTACAGTTTTTAGCAAATGCGATGTTTACCTCTTAAAAGTTAGAAAATATGGTATACATGGCTGAAGCCTTGATTTATTAGATGAAGCACTGCAATATTCTATGATTTCATTGCCACTGTAGCCTCTACATGATTGGGTGGGCAATCCCAGTGAACCACCAGCAAATTTCCACTTTTATGGCTCAGTCGATGGACCATTTGTTGAAAAACATGGCTCCTGACAGATACCTATCAAGATATCTTAGCTTTTATCTGATATCTCACTGTAACTACACATCAGAACCATCTTTGTTTTTAATCAGTGCAACCAGTTCCTATTTGATTCCCGACACAAACAGCCATAGCTGAAAACATTTTTAAAGAAACAGGTCACCATGCACAAGGCTGCTGTTTATTTTTTCGCTTTAAATTTAAAAATGTAATGAAAAAAGTAGACATAATTGACTTCAATGCACCTGGTTTTATCACATATGACTCGGCTCTCTCCACAGAATGGGTAGCCGCCTGCCAAAAGTGCTGCAAAAAGCATGAACTCTGTAGCTCCAGTGATATTCCTCTGGGAAGATCGCACTCCTGCACTGAACGATGCATTTTGTGAACTGAACCAATGAACCCTCCAGAGCAAGGGAAACTGCTGGAACACTTTGACATTGAGACTCCCTACCCTATTCCCCCAGAGAAAAATTGCTCCGCATGAACTTAAGGTTAAAAAAAAAAAAATAATTGTTTCAAATGGTTTATGAAACTGGATATAATATTTGCTACTGCAGCTTTTAATTTAACTTACATAGTTCATGTATTGACCGCTACTGCAATTTTTAGTTTAACTTACAGATCTGGATGTAATTACTGCAACTCTTAGTTTAACTTACGGAGTAGGATGACTCTTGCCATAAAACCGATGCTCCAGCTGAACACAGTAGGCATTGTATCTCTGAGCATAGTCAATCCAGGCACCTTCTAGCATCCATATTGGGTCAGCTGTTCCTTCTCCTCCAATCTGGACAAACAGTGGGCCACCCGGTTTGTAGAATGTATCGTTTGTAAAGTACCTCTGAAACATTAATTGTACCATCAAATACATGGTCACGTTTTTGAAAACGCTGTTAAGAAACTGGATCTTAGAACTAACAGGAGGAGGCTGCTTGGTCTCGAGGCATGGTGTTCGCCTTGAGTGCTAGAGGTTCCGGGTTCAATTCCCGGTAAGGGCTGGGATTTATTTTTTCATGTGGACTTGGTCTTCTAGTTATTCCCCTGGTCTCTGATTAGTGAGATCAGATGCCCGTGTGCATTGCTGCACACCTAACTAATCCCTTAGCAGTTGGAAATCAGAAAAAGTATCCTAACAGCGCTGCCCGGGCCAAAATTTGGAGTTAAAAATCTACCCAAAATATTTCAGGATTTTCGGCCGGTACTACAGAGCCTGTGCACTGTGCTGAGCTTTATCGGACTCAGACTTCAGTTAGAAAAAGAACGGAGCACTTATGTGTTACTACCTGTGTGCCTTGTTGATCCACTGTTCAAACTTTAAACCTCAGAACTAGCAGGTTGTCTAAGTAGAAGTTAAGAGTGTTTATTTTGTTAGCTACCTAAACACACAGCTGGTAGAAGACATGACTTTGTAGGTTACATAGCTACAACATGAGAGGAGTTTTCACTTCTTCTTTTTCTTTGCATTCACCAGCTATAAACTCTGGCAGAAAGTTCTGGTATTTTAACAACTTCTGGACTTTAGTCTTGTCCCAGAACTTGAGTTTTGCATTCACATCCTTTTTACAGATCTGGCTTATTTGTTTATGTTTATTCGACGGATCAACATCATAGCACACGGGTGTGTCCTATAAGTGCTCCGTTCTACTTTTAACTCAAGCCTGAATCTGAAAAATCTCAGCACAGTGCACGAACTCCGTTGCACTGGCGAGGATCTTGAAATACTCTGGGTAGATTTTTAACTCCAAATTTTGCAGGGGCAGCACCATTAGGCTTTTTTTTTCGATTTCCAACTGCCAATGGATTTTTTTATGTGTGGAGTCCGATCTTACTACCCAGAGACCAGAGAAAATTACAAGAAGTCCACGTGAAAAAATAACAGCCTTCACAGGGGCTTGAACGCGGTATGTCCAGCCCTTGAGGAGGATGCGATTCCACGAGACCACGCAACAGTATGCAGACTGTTTGGTTCCTTGTCTCTCAGGCAGATGCACCCAGACTTTGAAGGAAACCCCTTTTTAGTCAACTCTTACAACATGCTTGTTATGGAGGCAGTTCGTCCACCCCCACACCCCCCTTTCCCCCTGGAACCCACATCAGGAGAGTCTTCAGTTGATCTGTCACAATTCAGAAACTGTTTTTGTGCACTTCATAATAAAATCCTGATTAATATCTGCTGGGTCTTGTCCATAGTATGAGTCATGTGTAGGTGCTTGCACAAGATTCAGTTTTCCAACTCTGGTTCTTACTTCCTAAGCTTTTCTCCAGAAGTTTTGTTTTGGGAAATGTTTACTATCACCCGTAAAGTAAAAGTAAAGGATCCTTTTCCACATCTTCAGGCGTACTAGGCACACATGGCTAGTCGTTTATTTTACAGACCAATCAGCACTTGGTCAGCCATCTTTACTCCCCGGGACTTTACCTGGTGCTCATTTAAGGCTGGGTCAACCTGGAAGCCAAGGTCATTTTTGAAAAAAGTCCGGCTCAGTCAGGACCTGAACCCAAGACCTTCGATCCACAGGTGAGCGTCTAGCCACTACACTGCTGTGACTCTCTATCACCTGTTAGAGGTTGTTTTTTTTAAAATTATTTTTGAATCTCCACCATTCATTATCTGCTCCAGCTTTCATTGATAGATGAATCATGTTAAATATTAATAACTAATATAAGAAAGAAAATCTGCTCAGGAATTCAGTGGCAGCAGCAGCAGTGGTGCAATGGATAGGGTCATGCCTGCAAGCCCAAAATGCTTTGGGTTCAATCCATAGTGAGGCAGATTTTTGTTTTTTTTAATTGCTGCCCAGGTCAACCCAGCCTAAAATGGGTACAAGGAAATGTGCTGGGAAGTCAAGGCAGTCTGGATGTTGACCACATCACACAAATATGGTATGTTAAACTGTCTAGCACCCTATGCCCAGTGTGCCACTGGCATGAACATGGTCCTTTACTCTCTAACTTGAGTGGAGGCACATATGTTGTATACATACATACATACATACATACATACATACATACATACATACATACATACATACATACATACATACATACATACATACATTGATATGTACATACATATATAAAACCTATATATAATCTATAATATATAATATAATATAATAATAATAATAATATATATATAATCCTTTCCCCTGAAAAAAACCACAGAACTGACACTTCTTGCTGGGCTCAATTCCTGTAAATGTAACCTGTCCGACTTGTCTATACAGACCTGTTTATAAGAGGTGAAGTCAATGCTACTGGCTGTTTTCGCGCCTGCACAAATGTTTTAGGACGTCATGATATGACTGCATTAACTAAAACAGAATCTAAGGAGGTTTTTCCTTTGAGCCAAATAGCTTTTTTAAACCCAGGTTTACTTCACTTTTTCCCGCAGCCTCAATTATAGAGATCACAGGGTCACTGCATGAGTCACCCAATGGTCAGCTGTACACAGATATAAATCACAGTTGTGAGAGTAACTATTACATGCTGCCAGTAAGGACAAGACAGCCCAATAACTACACTGATCAGTTGAAAAGATAAAAATCATAGCTGTGAGAGTAACCATTACCTGCTGCTGTAAGGGCAAGAGATGCCAGTAATTACACTGGTCAGTTGTACATAGATATCAATCACAGCTGTGAGAGTAACCATTACCTGCTGCTGTAAGGGCAAGAGATCCCAGTAATTACACTGGTCAGTTGTACATAGATATCAATCACAGCTGTAAGAGTAACCATTACCTGCTGCCAGTATCTCCCATCAGCTCCGTTAAAATGATCAAGTTTCTGCGTGTACCACTGATCTGGGGGAAGTTCTCTTGTTTCCAAATTTTTTCTATGGTGTTTGTGTCCTAGCAACAACAACAAAATTAAATAAGCTTTTTTTTTCTAAACTATTCACATTGCTAAAATGAAACAGTTGTATGACAATCCTCCTCAGGTATAATTATGTGCAAACCATATAACTCACTATCTCAATATAATTCACATCAACAATTTTGGAATGTACTCCAGATTCAAAAATGCTCTATATATAACTTAAGCTTGGTCACAAACTGCCAATTATTGCCTTTATTATACCACTATTGCAGTGTAGGCAGGGAACTTTGAGCCCGAGGACTTACAGCCGCATGGCTAGTGCTGTCGCCATGACTGTGCAGGTGAGGATTTTATTTTGCGCCATCCACACACAAAAACAATCTCCAGCCTTACCGAGGATTCAAACCCGGGTTTCGAGCTTGAGAGCCCAGCATTCTAATTGTTTGGCCAGCCGCTCCTCACCTTAAGCTTTACTGGAAGGAATTTAATGATAAACTGTCAGACCATGATCCCACTGTTACTGAAGGTAAATTTAGTTGGCAAAGATATCCATGACAGCTACTTTCTGACCAAAGCTGACCATGGCTAGATGCTCGCCTGCTGATCTGAAGGTCATGGGTTCAAATCCAAAAGGAGCCAGACTATTGATTTGTTTTTCTAAATTGACCTTGGCTCCCAGATAGACCTAACCTTGAGTGGGTACCAAGTAAAGACCTGGATTCTAAAGGCAGTTGGTGTGATGTTGATCATATCACCCATCGAGTACTGATTGGTCTATAAAATATAATTATAGCCCTATATGCCTTATTTGCCAGGAGGCATGGAAGAGGGTCCTTCACTTACTTACCTGTTGACCAATTATTCATAATGCTGTTTTAAAAATCGGAATTCTTTGCAGACTGCACTCATTTTGCTTCTATGGAACTTTTACAGGACTAGAGAATTAAGCAAAGCTACTGTAATCTTAATTCAACAAAAGGCAACAACCAAAGGCAACTGCATCTCCTAGGGTTTGGAGATAGTGAATACAAAGTATTTTAGTAATGTAAGAAAGTAAGTATCAAAGGGAATAAGTGGGCAGTTCTGCATAATAGTGGGAGTTGAGCATTCCATTGTTCTGATGATCAGAATTTGAAAACTCTGTGGGGCATACTGTGCCATTTGACAAGACCATCATATTCAGATAACATAGTTACAGTCATCTTCAACATCATGTAGCAGGTCCTTAGCAGAACATCCCTCTCCTCATTGTCTGCCTTAAAGATATTTGTTTCCAATCCCTGTACAAAACAAAAAACATCTAGTACTTATTTCCATCGTATATTCTGTTATGTGTCAGCTATTACATGTGCTTGCCTTATTATTATTAGCTGTCCAAATTATCAATTCTACCTATTACAAAAATAATGTCATCTTCACACACAATACAGTAATATTAATTACAATTTTAAAAATTACAATAGCATTAAATATAGTTAGTAAGTAAAGGACCCTTTACCATACCTTCAGGTGTATTAGGCATATAGGACTAGAACTATTTTTTATAGACCAATCGGTCAGCATTATGCCTGCTGCCTTTACTTCCCAGGACCATACCTGGTACCCATTTGAGGTTGTGTTGACCTGGAAGCCAAGATCATTTGAAAAAAAAAAAATCAAGCTCTATCAGGACCCAAACCAACAACTTTCTGATCCGCAGGCAAGCATCTAGCTGCTACACCATGGCAACTCCCAATACAGTTACTAGTAGTACATAAATGCCCCCAACTCACGAGCAAAGCTTCAGGAGATGCAGAAGCTGATGGTCATGGGTTTTGGCCAATTAGTTTAGCCCCAATCCACGCCGCGGGGACTCATAGCGGTGGCGGTAGTCGCCGGAAAACCGCCTGAGAACCGCAAATTAAGTCGCCGGAAGTGCGCAATTGATATGTGATGCGGCTCGAAAAGATATTTTGCGGCCGCCATCTTTACTGACCGTTATTCGGAGGATAGCCGTAATATTCAATTACTAACGCAATTATTTGTTGTATTTCTATACTTATTCCTCAACAATCCCTTTTCACTTTGATGTATAATACGTGTATGTTGCGCGGCAATTGAATTAGTAAGGTCTGTTTTAATGTGTTACACTTGTGAAATTTAAAAAAAAAATTGGGCTCTCCTTTAAATACCGGTCGCTAGCTGGAAGGCGACGGTCGCTTAGTCGGAGTTCAATCCCTTGGCTGTAGTGCAAATACGGAGTGGACAAGTCACGAATCAAAAACAAGGTCAACATGGCTGATAGACAACAAGCTGCGACTCACATTAGCAACCACGTTCTTGCGACGCACGACTAAGTGGCCATGGATGTGACTCTTGCAGATTTGTATGCCTTAATGACCGATAAGTTTACCCTAACCCAAACCCTAAGCCTAGCCTAACCCTAAGCAACCGTAGCATGACAGGTAAGTATGTCATTTGTTTAGTTCCCTCTTTACCACTCCGTATTTGCACTGAAGCCAAGGGAGTGAACTCCGACTAAGCGACCGTCGCCTTCCAGCTAGCGACCGTTATTTAAAGGAGAGCCAAAAATTGCATTTCATTACTACCCCTTGGGCCTCTGATGCTAACTAAACACCTTTGGACTCAAGGAGCTAACCAACAAATCGTTATTTTATTTATCTACCGGGTGCTCCTAGCAATCCTCCTCTAGGTCTTCCCCGAATCATCCGTGGTACATAGGCTTCAATATAGACTGTAAAACATATTAACAAACAAGTAGTAATTATGTAAGCGCCGAATTTCTCCATGATGATCCGGCTTCTTCAACTAAGCAAATCGTGCTCCAAGACTGAAATGCAGACGACTTGGTCACATGATAGGAAAGTCACGTGATCTGGTCATGCGCTAAGGTAATTATAGAGATAAGTGCTATCATAACAGACTGTGGTCTTATGTTGGCCCAGAACATTGAATGCTTTATGAGAATTCATCCATCATCGTCAGTTCTCTTTATGCCTAGTGGCACATGAGGCTTCAGAGTGGACTTTTCATGCTCTCATGTCTGGTGCAATCTTCAGTGCAGTTTTCCATGTCAGAGATGCCGCATTCAGGTATGCTGGCAGAGGGACTCCGTCTCAAGACCGCCGGACGTTTAGAGCATTCGGCTCTACTTTGAATAACGATTCTAAATGAACTACGCAGAAGGTTAACCCAAACAGAGCCTCACACATATGTAAAAGTCGCATTTCTTTTGCGGCGATTCAACCGTGTCAAAAGTAGTATTAACTGCGCACGACATTTCGCGGAACGCAACAGATTTCTTACGGCGATTAGATGGCGGCAAAACAAGGATTAACTGCATACGAAAAAAATTACCGACACGCGACAATACTCCCGATAGCGCTATCCTACGGCAGGGCCCGAGTTATATGTGAGCTGCCGATCGCTTTTCGCCGACTATAGTGCCACCTCCCAGACGTATCCCCCGCGCCGCTACGAGGGGGCTAAACTAGATGGCTGGGAATCACGAGCAGCAGCTACCGCAGCTCCTGCAGTTTCCTCCAATGTATTTGCTCTTGAGTCCTAGCCGTCTAGTTTAGTTCCTTCGGGGGATACTCTCGGAGGTGGCACTATAGTCGGCGAATTTCAATATCGGTAAGTACTATAATTCCCTTATTTTCCTCATACTTTCCGTTCCCTATATTTCCCGATTTACAGCTTTTAAATGTTTGTAGGACAGGGCGTAATGAGGCTCTGTTTGGGATTAACTTTCTGCGTAGTTCATTTAGAACCGTTATTCCAAGTAGAGCCGAGCATTCATTTCCTCATGAAGTTTCAGTAGCGTTGTAGTTTTTTTTTTTTTTTACAGGGCAGAGCTGTCAACATTGCGCCCAACCCCCGGGCCTGGAGGACCGGAAGGTAATCTTTAGTCTGGCTCCTCACTGATGACCTGCCAGGAACATACTTTCCCGTCGGCATAGCTCACTAGATCACTGAGGCTCTCAAGCCCCCCCCCCCCCCCCCCCCCCCCCCCCCCCCCCCCCCCCCCCCCCCCCCCCCCCCCCCCCCCCCCCCCCCCCCCCCCCCCCCCCCCCCCCCCCCCCCCCCCCCCCCCCCCCCCTCCCCCCCCCCCCCCCCCCCCCCCCCCCCCCCCCCCCCCCCCCCCCCCCCCCCCCCCCCCCCCCCCCCCCACATAATAATGGCCCTGTGGTGGAAGTTTATGAGAGTTACCAGTTAAAAAATAACTGAAAATAACCGCGATTCGTTGCCTGCGTCCGGAACTCTGTATTCAGAAAGATATAAAACCGAACGAAAAGTATATTGACAAGCTTCATAATATAACAAATACAAACAAAACGTGAACGTTGCGGTTATGGAGCCTTTATCAGCACATACAAATCAAACAATACTACACAAATACACAAAATAATTAGCTGGTATCTCGAAGCAGTCAGTCGATGGTTTCTCAGCACGTGTCGGCTGGGGGAAAAAATACCCCCTATGGAGTACCAGAGGCCAAAACTAGGGGGTTAGAGATAAAACTGTGAGGGCAGTTAAATCCCCTAGGAGTTTAAATGAAACTGCTGGCAATTAAGTCCGGAGGTTGTTAAAGTTCCCAGAGTGTAAATAAAGCGATTCTGAAGAGACTTTCAGGCTCTGTCGCTGGAATGGCTAGATTTAAAGGCTGTCACCTCCATGTCGAGGACACCATGGTGGTTCTGGGAATTAAAGTGCAACGGTACTGATTTTAGAGCACCATTTTGCATATCCAAAAGATGTTGTCTGAACCTGTCAGCCAGCCGTAGACCTGTTTCACCAATGTATTTCATGCCACATCGCTTGCAGTTGATGGCATAAATGACATCGCAGCTGGTACAATAGAAGGCTTCACGTATGTGGAAGGTGGCGTTCGGGAATTCTAGACTAGCAGCCTGGACCACATATGGACAGGTCCTGCATACAGGTCTGTGGCAAGAGACCGTGCCGAAGTGGAACGTAACCGACTCTTGACTAGAATGTCCTTGAGGTTACAGTCATGACTATAGGCCACTAAAGGAGGTTCAGAGAAAATCGTGCTGGTGGCAGAGTCGGCTTTAAGAATGGAGAGATGACTGAGGAAAATATTTTTGGCGCGGATGTTGTGAGGGTGGTAGGTAAGTGTGAGGATAGGATAGGCCTGTTGTAGTGACGTTTAGGCTTGGAAGCGAGAGCCTCGGCACGATGGAAAGACCATGCTTGGGGAAAGGCGGCAGATAGACCATATTCAGGATATCCTCGAAGTCGGAAGAAGTCCAGCATTTCCAGGGCCTTGTTGTGAAAGTCAGAAAGAGATAGTTCTGTCTTTACGCAGTCATGTTTGATCGTTCTTGAAATTGTACTTCACTTATAAAGGATTCACTTATTTGCTTCATTTATGTAATTGCTACTGTGGTATGCACCTGACGAGATACAGCGAAATATGCCAGGCAGTAAATTGTGCTATCTATTGTTTGTGTCTTCTTTGATCCTTTAACTCAACGCCTGTGGTTTTGAAATATGCTTGCTTTGAACTGAGCATCGTCCTTTGGCGGTTTGAAAAGTGTTTTAGTTGACTTGAAAAGTGACCTGGCTGGTTGGATAATTGTCCCCTTTGGTTTGAAAGAAACGTTCTAAGTGGCTGAAAATGTTGCCATCATAAGTAACTTGACACGAACTTTGTCAAGCTGACTGGTTGTGGAGAAGTTGGTCAGACCACAAGGCACGTAATGTGAGACCAAATCGTGGATTTTTCTGAAGTTTTAATATGCAAAAACAATCTGTACCGGTGAAATTTTGTTTTGCATGTATAAAATTCCATTGCACCAACATCATCATCATCAGTTCTTGTTATGCCTAGTGGCACATGAGGCTTCAGAGAGGACTTTCCATGCTTTCCTGTCCTGAGCAATCTTCAATGCAGTTTTCCATGTCAAAGATGCCACACTCAGGTCACTTTCCATCGTTCGTCTCCATGTTGTTTTTGGGCTCCCCTTTTTTCTCTTTCCCTCTGGTATCCACGTGAGAGCTGTTTTGGCAGGTATATCGGGATTCATTCTCATAACTTGGCCAAGCCATTTCCACCTTCTCTTGGTTATCATACTGTCTAGAGTTTCTTGGTTTGTGACTTGAAGTAGTTTAGTGTTTGAGATTGTATCTAGCCAGAAAATTGTGATAATTCTACGTAAACATGTGTGGTGGAATGTGGACAGCCTGTGTACATCCTTTTTGGTTATTCTCCAGCATTTTGCTCCATAAAGAAGAACTGGCAAAATGATGCTCTTGTAGAGTCGGAGTTTTGTTCCTCTGCAGTAACTGTTGGATTTCCAGATTTGCCTCATCCTTCCAAAAGCAGCTCTAGCTTTGTTCAAGCGTGACTGTATGTTATCCTCTGTCCCTCCCGGTAGGGACACCACACTGCCAAGATATGTGAAATGTTCTACATTTTCAAGTGATTGGTTACATATTGTCACTGGTTGTTGGTTTGGACTGTTTGTCATGATCTTAGTTTTCTTTGTATTTATTCGCAGTCCCACAATTTTTGCTGTGCTGTGTAGTCTGTTACTTTTCTTTTGTATATTTTCACCTTTTAGTTGATAGGAGTGCTATATCATCTGCAAAATCGAGGTCCTCAAGCATGGTGAATGAAGTCCACCGTATGCCTTTCAATGTCTTGTCTACTGCGTTTTTTAGTATCCAATCAATCACAAGGTTGAAGAGGTAAGATAACAGGACACATCTCTGTCTCACACATGTCTTTACTGGAAAATATTTATTGTAATTTTTTTTATATCATCAACAACAACAAAAAGTACAGTACTTTTTTTTTTTTTTTAAACTTTTTTGTCATACCTTTATTGAGTTTGTCTGTTTTACATTTCTTGTATTTTTACTGGCAATAGATTGGATTATGAAGACAGCAATTACAAACACCAGGAATGGAAACAGCCGGATGATCACGACTTCGCTATTTCTCTTTTGACCCAATCACGGAATCAGATGCAAGATAAACTAAATATACTTGATACGAGATCACAACAGCTGGGTCTGAAAATCCATAAAGGAAAGACAAAGAAAATCAGAATATTTCATGCATTTATATATATATATATATATATATATATATATATATATATATATATATATATATATATATATAAAGATATATATATATATATATATATATATATATATATATATATATATATATACTAGCTGTACCCGGCCACGCGTTGCTGTGGCGTAATTTGAGATAGTCTTTGATCCCCACCCCACCCCCCTACCCACAACTAAATCCAACTACTACCCTCTCCCTCGTCAAAGGTTTTTGGAAAAGAAAGACAATGGAAATCGCACCTGTCTAATATAGTTAATGTCGCAATCATTCTCTGCACATTTATATAGAGATTGTCTGGTTTTCCAACTTTGGAACACGCACCATATAATTGTGTCTTTATATTAGTGGTCGTTTAAATGGTGCTATTAGCACGGTAACAAAAGTGGTTATTTGGTTATCACATGCTAAAGCTGTTTGTATTTTTATAGGAGACGGAAGTGAAGTTACAACTGTACTTGTAAATAACAAAGTAAGTCGTAAAAAATAGAAAAGCGGAGGTAGCGTTAGTAAAATATAAACAAATTAGGTAATGAGAACTTGAAAATCACGTGTAAAGCTCTTTAAGTTCTCTTAAATTTAAGTCATTACCCCCCTCCCCTCCCCTCTTCCACCGACTACTGCTCTCTCCCTCTTCGAAATATTTGAAAATCATTACCTGGCGATATTTTTTTGTTG